TAAAAGCAGTCCATCAACACTGCAATAAAGACATATCTAGTATGTAGGCAAGGCACATATACAAACCAGTGACATTAATTACACATAATTGATATTTTAATATAGGTTAAAAAAATGTATTCAAAAATAAGAAAAATAAAACCTAAAAAGAGAATACCTTATGAGTCGATCAGCAGCGGATCTAGAAATTTCTATTGGGGGAGCCAAAATTAAAACTAATTGTACATAACATTCATATTCTGTTTTTCCTAGTCAAAATTGTCACAAAAAGAAAAAAAAAACTACATTTATACTATTGTCTTCGGCGGAGCTTCATATTGAGGAACCGTTGCATGACCATCTCCTTATCAATACTATCAAATATATCTTTCTCAACCTATGGAATTGGGCTATCATTCAAGAATTAATCTCTCATTTGATTGTGTAAATGAGTCTTCACAATTTTCATAGCAGAAAATGCCCTTTCTACACTTGCAGTTGCAACTAGTAAAGTTAAAGCCAATGTGATGAGCAAATATACTAATGAGTAAATAAGATGCTTCTTCTTTTCAACTATTTTCTAAGCAAGACTAGTAATATTGTTTAGTTCTGAAAAATCACTATCTGAGCACATATCATAAATGTAATTATCAAGTTGAAGTTCAAGTGCCATAAGATCAATAGAAGAAATTCAACCAGATAAAATTGAGCTAAACGAACCATTTTTTTCTTATCAAATGCTTGAAAGCAATCACTTAGATTTAGGGAAGCCATGCAAATAAGTAATTATGTGTTACCTTCATTAAAATAACTGTTAAGCTCTGATAGTTGCAAATCTATTATGGCATAGAACAACTCAACACGATAATGAAATAAATTTGTCATCTCTTAAACATTACGCCTCGATCTCCCTCGTGCAACAAATTTCTCTTCCATATTTGGCACATTTATATTATAAGCAATGCAAAAGTGAGAAACTTCATCAAGTAGATTATCCCATCCACTATTTCTTATCAACAATAATCTTTTTTTGGACAAGTGAATCAAAGATAGAGCATTTTTAATATCTTGATCCTTTCTTTGCAATGCCTGTGAAAGTTCAAATGCGATTCCCAAAATGTTTTTTCATCATGTGCAGGTTAAAAGCAAAATCAGATGAAGTCATATAATCCTCCAAATCACCTGCTTCAACTCTATTATCATAATTTTTAGTAAGATCCTCAAGAACTTCAATAACAAATGAAAACAAATTAATTAGGCTCAATAAAGTCCCATTTACCCTAGCCGCTTAAGACTAGTATCTTGATTAAGGCCTTGCCCTATTGAAAGCTCACCACTTTCAATAGCTTTTTTCACCTTCAAAGCTTGTTTCTCAATAAGAAGATCCTGACATCTAGGTGACCATCCAACAATATTTATCATATAAGAAACTTTCAAAAATAGTTTCTCAATATTTGTATCCTTTTTTGCCACAGCTAAAAGTGCTAGTTGAAGTTGGTGAGCAAAATAATGAACATAGAAGGCATATTCATTATCTTTCAATATAAGTGCTTTTAACCCATTAAACTGGCCTCGCATATGACTCGCACCATCATAACCTTGTCCACGTAATCTTGATATGCTCAAATTGTACTTAGAGAACAATGTTTCGATTCCCATCTTTAGTGATAAAGCAGTCATATCTGTGACATGCATAATGCTCAGTAGATGCTCAACAACACATCCTCTTTTATTTACATAACGTAAGATAATTGCCATATGCTTTTTGTTGGATCCATCACGAGCTTCATAGACTAATATAGAAAAAAAAAATCTCCAATATCATTGATTAATTTGTTGATGGTTTCAACTGCAAATGCATTGATTACGTCTTTTTGGATACTAGGAGCAATCAATTTATCGTGTCCACGAGCATTCTCCAATGCTACTAATCTATATTCTTCATTTTGCTCGGCTGTATAGTGTAGAAGTTTAAGAAAATTTCCCCAATTCATTGAATTATCAAACTCATCATAGCCACGAAAAGGCAATTCTTACCGAAGAAGAAGCCAACTAGCAGAAATTGATCCTTTCAACCAAATACAATAATCTTCTCGCTGCTGGTCAAATTTCTTATTAATAATTGTACTCACATGCTGCTTTGGTTCATCAAAGCTTGACAATTTTTCAAAGCTTGGTTATGATAGCTATTAGGACCTCCAATATGATATTAAAATTTTTCAAGTCTCTTCCAATTGTGAAACCCATCAAGAACAAAAGAATCACTGCCACTTTGCTCACCTTTATCTGGTTTGAAAAGATAACAACATAAACAATATGGAGCATCATTCTCAACATGATATTCCAACCAGTAAGGATATTTGTCAAACCAAAAACTTTGGAAACTCCGTACATGATCACCAGATTTTGATTTGGGAAACTTATGGTTGCGAGGTTGACAAGGACCATATTGTAAATAATGCATTCTGGCTTGGTCTCAAACATTAGGATGATAAAATGTAATTCTTGGTCAAAATCCAAGATCAAAAGGAAGATTTTCCAAGTCAACTTCGAAGCAATTTGTCTTTAAAGAAGGTTGATTTTCATTATCATTGAAACCAAAAGAAAGTTGAGCTATCTCAACAATTGACTTTCTTTTAAAATATTTTTCCATATCTAAATACAAAGAAATAAAATTATATAAATACAAGGAAACAAATTAACTCACGAATTGAATTCTATAAAAACTACAGAAATTCTAAATTTTCTAACTATTCTTTATCTTTTCCATAGAATTCATCTAAATAATTATTGCTCTTAAATAATCAATCATAATTATGTCACTTCTTAATGATTTTTCAATAGGGAAAAATGAAATTGAGTAGGATTTATATATATAAAAGTTAATGGAGCAATTAAGAAAGAAGTATTATAATCTAAGATATAATATTAGACTATTAGTGCAAGACAACATATTGTTGTCTCCTGATTGTGAGGTTTGTGCATCGAGAGGGTTTTGTAAGAAATTGAAAGACAAAAATAAACTTCAATTATTGTATTTGATTGAGTGAAAGATTGAATAATTACAACTTAAGCTACAGCTACTTAAGTAAATTCAATAGGAAAAACAGAGTGAAGAGAAAATGAATACAGAAGCTTAAGTCATGCAAAGTTAAGCAGTTTCAAAATGACATCGCTTTACTAAATTTTAGGTAGACCCTTATCTTCTGAATTCTAACACTTTGATCCACGTGGCCACTCAAACTGCACTTACTCCTGCAGTTTGGAATTCTTATCTGAACATACTCCTTACAGTTGGAATTTTCAAAAGACATTCCTCCTCAGTTTGAGTCTTGTATTTGAAGACTAAATCATTTACTCCACTTAAACAAATCTTCTCAGTTGGAATTCACAAACTGAAGCTGACCATTCCAAGTTGAACTATTGATCTCCAAAAATTACTTAGGCCATATTGTCACTTAATCCTATATTCTCATTTATCTTTTCTGAGAACAGATAAATTCTACTACAAATAAAAAGAAGGCAACCAAAGAAACCTAGAAACCACAAATTAGACAAATTCACAAGGATATTACTACTGAACTAGAATAGATAGAGCTGCTGAACCAGAACTGAAATATAGCTTTGAAGAGACAACCAATTCAATTTTAGCTAATACCAACTTCTCAGAGATACCAATTAGTTATGCCAAAAAAAAAAAAAAAAAAAATCTTCTGCAGTATGTCAGTCGAAGCAATATGAAAGAAAAGAATGATCTTTAGCATTTGTACACATTGTGCATAGAAGTCATGCTTTTAACCATAACTAATGAGATGATCAAGTTACAAACATTTACAAGTAGAATCACAATTACCATAGTATAACAGCATGCAGTGAGCACCATATCAAAACACCTTTGACCATAGTATAACAGCATATAGATAGCATCACACCAGAACACCATTTAACTGTTACAGGGCAGGTTAACAACATTGAGTTTTTCCTTCAATTCCAGAAACTGAGCAATGGAAAGGGCGTTGGTTAAGATATCTACAATTTGCGGTTTGGTAGGTACATATTGGACAAGGAGCTGCTTAGCTAAGACTTGATCTCTTAGATAAGGAGCATCAATCTCAATGTGCTTAATCTTGGCATGGAACATAGGATTAGAAGCCAAAGCTCCTATACTAAGATTGTCACACCATATGACAGGTGCTTGAGGAAAGTGTAAGCCTGATTCTGAGTAAATACTCTTTAACCAGGCAATTTCAATTGCTGTATTAACTAAAGCCATATAGTCAGTCTTGGTTGATGACAAAGCAACAACCTGTTGCTTCCTAGAGCTCCATTGAATCAAATTTGGACCCAAGAAAATGCAAACTCCACTAGTTGATCTCCTATCATCAAGGTTACTTCCCCAATCTACATCAGTATAACATTCAATGCACATTGATGCTACTAGTCGAAACTGAATGCCATGATTTTGAGTTCCTTTGAGATACTAAGGACTCTTTTGTAGGCTTACCATTGAATTTTGTGGGAGCTTGCAAATATTGGCTGAGTTTGTTAACAACAAAACTTATATCAAGCCTAGTGATTGTAAGGTATTGTAATGCACCAACTGTGCTTCTATACAAGGTAGGATCTTGAAAACACTCACTGTCTCCAAAGAACAACTTAGTACCAACAGCTAGAAGTGTTGGACAAGGGTGTGCATCTGCCATTCTTATTTTAACAAGTAAATCAAGAATATATTTTGTTTGTTTGAGATGTATACCTTGAGCAGTTCAAGAGGCCTCTATTCCAAGGAAATAGTGAACTGGTCCTAAAACTTTAAGGGAGAATTGAGTAACAAGTTTTGGGACCAATGTGTGAATAAATGCCTTATTACCTCCAGTAATCAAAATATCATCTACATAGATGAGAAGATAAGTCATTTGAGCACCGTCTTGAAAAATAAACAAGCTGGAATCTGCCATTGAATTCTTGGACCCTTTGTCAATCAAAGCTTGCTTTAATTTTTCAAACTAGGCCTTGGGTGCCTATTTGAGCCCATATAAAGCTTTTTCCAATTTACATACGTATCCAGGAAACTCAAGATGCTCAAAACCTTCTGGTTGCTTCATAAACACAGTCTCATTAAGAGTACCATTCAGAAAAGCATTATTTATGTCAATTTGTTGAATGTCCAATCCATTGGTTATGGGCAAGGTAAGGATTATTCGAATGGTGGATGGTTCAATCACTAGGTTGAAGGTCTCGAAACAGTCAAGACTTGGAGTTTGCTGAAATCCCTTTGCAACCAGCCTAGCTTTGTACTTTTTTAGAGAGCCATATGGATTGTACTTAATTCTAAAAACCTGTAACAACTGCTGTAAGCTAATACAATGCATGCATAATAACAATAGAAAATTGGGCCCAAAAACTTTCTTTTCATTATGAGTCATATGTCTTTTATACACAAAGAGTATTGTTTACAAAAAAAATCATTTTAAAAGGCATAACAGNTAAGTAATCATTTGTTTATAATATAATGTTATAATTAATATTTATAATATAATGTCGTAATCAATAAAATAATCATCTAATTATGTAATGTTATAATTAATTATGTAATCAACTAATCATACTATAATGAAATAGTGAAATGTTACAATAAATTAAGTAATCATACTATAAATCTTTAATATAATATTATAATTAATTTGTTTATAATATAATATTATAATTAATTAAGTAATTGTTTAATTATAATGTAATGTTACAATTAATTACGTAATTGTACTATAATTTATAATGTAATGTTATAATTAATTAAATTTCTAATAATTTAATTAAGTATTGTGCTAATGTTTATGTAATAAATCAGTAATTACTAATATTTATAATATAATTTCATAATCAATTAAGTAATTATTTAATTACGTAATGTTATAATTAATTATGTAATCATACTATAATGTAATGTTATAGTGAATTAAGTAATCATATTATAAATCTTTAACGTAATATTATAATTAATTAAATTTTTAATCATTTAATTAAGTTTGTACTAATGTTTATAATTAAATGTTATAATTGATTAAGTAATTATACTATAAATCTATAATGTAATGCTATAATTAATTAAATTTCTAATTATTTAATTAAGTAAGATACTAAATGTTATAACTTATAAGTCAATTAATTAAGTAGTAATCAGTTAATGTAATGCTATTATTAATTATACTATAAATCAATTAAGTAATGTTATAAAATTATAATTAATTATATAGTGTAATATTACAATTGATTAAGTATGATATTTAACTAGTAATAAAATTTATTAATGTTTATCAATTTATTATATATAATTAATTAATTGCTAATTTACTAAAGATATACTTAGAACTTGATAATTGAAGTAAATAATTAAATATATTATTATTCAATCAAATATACTATTTTATTCAAAAATATAGGACTTAAACATTTGTACCCTTTATGAACCAAGCTATATCCTAAGAAAACACATTTTTCTGAATGAAAATTGAACTTATGCTGATGATAATCTCTTAAATAAGGATAGCAAGTGCAACCAAAAACTTTCAAAGTGGAATAAAGAGGAGAATTATGAAATAAAATTTGATAGGGAGAAATAAAATTCAGAACAGAAGAAGGCATTCTGTTAATTAAAAATACTGCTGTATCAAATGCATTCCACCAAAATTGCAAAGGCATTGAAGCATGTGCAAGCAAAGTTAGTCCAGTTTCCACTACATGTCTATGCTTTCTCTCACTCCTACCATTTTGTTGATGCACATAGGCACAAGAGTGTCTAAACTGAATTCCACAATTGGTTAGATAAGAAATAAGTCCTTTATATTCTCCTCTTTGATCAGAGTGTAGACACTTAAGTTTGGTGTTGAGTTGTCTCTCAACTAAGTGATAAAATCTAATAAGGGTAGATCTAACTTCACCTTTAGTCCTTAAAGGGAAGAGCCAGGTAAACCTACTAAAATCATCTATAAATGCAACATAATATTGGAATCCTTCAAAAGACATTATAGGGGCTGGTCCCTAAACATCACTATGCACAAGCTCTAAGGGAGAAGTAGCTCTTGAGTGAGAGAGGGGAAAAATTATTCCTATGCATTTTACCTAGATGACAAGCATCAAAAAAAGGCAATGTAGATGATATGCTAGAGTTCTTAAAGGTTGAGGTTGATTTGGGAAGTTGTTCTATGATTTTGTGAAACACCTCAGCATGAGGGTGACCAACTCTTCTGTGCCAAATTAAAGCAGTGTTACTATTTTTACTAGATGCAGATACTAGGGCTGTTGAACATGGTGCACTAAAGTCATGCAATTGAGAATGTAATGTATCATGTATCAAATCAGAATGATATAAAGAAGTAGCATGCAATTGACCAGTAGATGAAATATCAGTATTGTCAAGAGAATGTAAAGTATCAGCAAGTGAATGAGAATGCAGTGCATCTGTTGTAGAATTATTAGAAGCTGTATCATTCAAATTATTAGCATGTAGTTGAGCAACATGTAAAGAATGTAAAGAATCAGAATCAGTACACAAAGTAGTAGAATTTAAGGGAATAGAATGGCATTGAACTGTATTCTTATTATTCAGCAAAGAAGTACAATTATTAGATGTAAAATCAGTTACATGAGATTCATCTTTATTCTCAATACATGTAATAGAAGGAGACTGACTAGAACTAAGTTTTGACCGTACATAGTTGGAAACTTCAACAGAATCTAAACTATTTGTGCTGTTTTTGGAAGAAACCTCAACAGAACCTAAACTATCTAATGTACTCTTTGCATTAGTGGACTTATTAGATATGACAGATGTGACTTAAGTAGGAGACTTGGGGCAGACTAAGAAGGTATTAACTGGTGGAGACAGTAAGGATAGGGCAGATGGAAAATTCAATTGATATAACCCAGCTTTAAGATCTCCCTGCGGCAGCACTTGATTGGTAACCTTGTCCTTAACCACACAACATTATTATCCTTGGTAAATTTGGAAATGCTAAGTAAATTTTTTGTAATGCGAGGAACACATAACACATTTTTCAAATATAAGGATTTAGATTGCAATGTACTAGGTAAGAGGGAAAACCAACATGAGATATGTTAAGAAACTCACCACTGCCAACCTGAAGCTGTTCTATTCCATCATAGCTCCTACTTGCACTTAATTGGTTCAAGTCTGAAGTAACATGATCTGTTGCTCCAGAATCCATATACCAGGCTGGATCTTGGATGGTAGTTGATGTGATATGAGTGGGAAAAGTGGGAGACAGGTTAGAAGACAGGTTATTTGGCAGGGAATGGGGAACAGCAAAATAAGCTTGACTGGGAACTGAAGAATGTTTTTGCTGATTGGGAATTGAGGAATGTGTTTGCTGACTGGATGTGTGTTGATCAGGTAAGTTGTATGAGATATGTGTTTGTTGGCTAGGTAAGTTAAAGGTTGAAGGTGTGCGATTAATGGTTGGTGTAGGTTGTTGTTGGGTAAAGTGTGAGACAAACTACTGTTGTTGATAACCACCACTGTTTTTATGGTTTTGATTTCCATGGTAAGGCAAGTTAGGACCATAGGCAAGAGAATGAATTTGTTGGTTTGATGGTGAAGAACCGATACCAACTTGATTTCTCCCAAAATGTGGAGGGGTTCCATTGTAGGTGGAATTATACCAGTGATAACACTGCACAGCAGTATGGCCCATTTTATTACAAACTTGACAAATGGGTTTTCCTTTAGGATTTCCCCTTCCGTTGCCTCTACCCAAAAAAGGAATACTAGGTGGTCTATAGTTTTTGCATAGGAACTCCATATTGCCCAATATTGGCTGATGCATTAAACTGATCACTTAAAGCATTTACATGAGGAACTGAATAGCCTTATACATTCACTTCTAATCTAAAGAATGTTACAAATAAGAGAACAAATACAAAAGCACAAGCACATACACACACAAAGTGTATCTCAATATTATACCAATATCGGACTCTTGGCCTTGGATTATCTACCTCTCTAACCAACTTCTTAAAATCATAAGGCTTCTTCAAATGAAACACTGGTCTCAGGCAACCATTCATTGCCTTGGATAAATGTTCCCACTGTAAATTTCCCTGCTTCAGCATTTGTGAGAGTGGGCTTATAACCAGCCCATTTAACCCGTTGGTCGACGGTTGCGCCCGGTCCAGTGTTTAGGTACTCAGCGTAGAATATGGTCTTAGGTGGCTCAACATTGCTGACCCATTCTTTCCAACCCACTGGCTGCAAGAATGACCCAATCTCAGACTGCATAATGACTGTAGTAGAGTATTCTTTCCAAGGCCTACCAAGGTATGTTGGGGCTGTTAGAGTAGTGTCTAGAGGTGAAAATGTACACTTCTGAATAGAAATGCCAGTGTTCTGGTTTGGGTCCTTTTAGCCTTGGGCTGTGATGGTGTTGAATTGGTTAGCCAGAGGTTGCCTAGGCTGGATGTTGCAGTTTTGGAAAACAACAGCAGCACTGCCAAAGATAAAGTCAATGGTGCCTGTAATGTCACAATGCTTGTAGAATTGGCAATTGGAGTGGGCATATAAAGTGTCCTGAAATGCATCAAATTTACACCGGTAAAATACTGACTGGTCAGAGCCGGACCGGAAGGCCACTGCTTGGTGTTTCGCTGCTCCTGCTGTGTTGATGAAAGTCATGTCTTTTGCCATGAAACCCTTACCAGCAACAGCTGATGATCATAGACATAAGTTGTAGTTAGTACATCATTTATTCACTTCTAATGTGTCATAAAAGCATTTATTAAAAGTAACAAAAGTTAACCTGTGACTTTTTATTGTTAGCAGTATATGCATAAAATAAAGATATTCAAACACAACTCCCTCGAGATTAATGCATATTCTGAAAAGATGGGAAAACAGAGACAAAATGTGGGGAATTCATGTTCTAATGCGAATGTTGCGGCCATCAGAAAAACCACAACCCACAGATCAAGAAGTAAAAAATGTCATCTGAGTTGCCTTCAGAATCTTCTTAGTAATTAATACTCAAACTGTACTAGCTTCTTGTAAAGGCTAAACTAAGTTATTAGAAACATGCTCTAGAAAAAGCATTTTAAACGATTGCTTCATTTGAACATTTGGATTACCGGCCATGATGTGCGAGACAAAAGCATCACTAAAGGCTACTTCCTCCTTCGATCTACTGCATCATCAAACACTGTTTCACAAACAGTCAAAGCACCTTTAACTTGAGCATCATCGGTTTTCTCCTTGAGCCTAGATGGAATTCCCGACAGCTTCGACATCTCATTAATGGCGACACGTAAAGAAAGCTTGAAGAACATTTCTGGATCAGTAGTGTTGAAGGCGCCAGCTTGACTGGCGATACTCGAGAAGCAAGAACTGGGGTATCGAGTCACACTGCAAACCGCCTTGAGAGAGGCCGATGGAGTCATTCCGGATGCCGGAACCGAATCATCAGAAGAACTTTTGCCCTTGTGCACCACAACTCCTACCACAGCTCCAATGATGACAGCAACAAGAACAATGGCGGAGACTATTAAAATGATCAAACGCTTTCGTGTCTTTTTCCGGAATGCTTGTTCTTCAGCAGGATCAACTTTGCCATAGCCCCTTAGAAGGACTTATAGTATCCATCACAGTTTAGTTTAACGAAGCTTTGTTTGAGATATGAGAAGAAGATGTAGCCTAAGTAGAATGTCTTTATATATAAGGAGGCAAAGATAGAATCTCCTTCTTGGATGCTTCTTATAATTTGTTAATAACAACGATAATTAACTAACATACTTTTATAGTTTATTAGTTCTATATGATGTGGCTGGATACAAATACTTTCACCCATTGCTTTCATCTGAAGATGAACATACTCGACAAAATCATTTATATTATTTTAGAAATTCACGCGGCAGAGATTCCATAATTTCAACTGATTAGTATAACTGAATTAGTATGCTGATTAATGAAGGACATTTGGGATTAGGATAGTGAGTTTCTAACTGTAACATATAATAAAATATTAATATAGATAGTGTCACACGGCAAAGGAAGGTAGAACGTAATAAATATATGGCTAATTTAGTGGAGAAATTTAGTACACAGCTGTTGTGTTCTAGAAATTTAAGTAGGTCATGAAGCTTTTTCAGAAATCCTGAACTTGAGCACCAAATGTCAGCTTCATAGCCTTCATAATTCATATTTATTACTATGGGCAGTTGGCACCATAGTTTTGTGAAAATGAAGCCGCCTGTCTTTTGTTTTTGGTCAAAACTTTGCAATGGAACAGTAAAATGTCTACTTACTAAGGGTCTTTTTCATGATTAATGATATTTTAAAACATATTCTGTGAGATTGGTCTATATCATTGGTGCATATCATAATAATCCTAGCCACCACAACAAGTGTGAAGAGCAAGCGAATTCAGCCAATGCCTTGGTCAAATTTCATATCATGATTGTTGAAAGATTATGATGGTGATGGAGAAGACGAGGTCTGAATCTGATCTAGCCTCCATTGCTATGAGAAGAGATCAAGTATTTGATATTTCCATTTGGGATGACTCATAGCATGTGATGATGGGAAAGCTAGTCAATACCAACTTCGTAGCCGATGATTGCGCCAATAATAAACAGTTTGGATCAGAATTCTCGTACAGTACATAGTATATTTATTTTCTTTCTTATTATCATTTATCCCATCCATGGTTCTAAGATGTTTCCATTCATGAATAGTATATAGCAAGCTTGTGAAGAAACATGATGGGTGTTTTCATTGATAATAACAATAACATGTCTCAAACCATGTAATGTTATACATGTTATTTAGCCAATAAGATGTTTCCAAGTTAACAACTTTGGGTGGTCGAGTGGTTTAATAAAAATTCTTGAGGTATTATCCAAGAGTTTTAAGTTGGGTTTACTTTAGTTGTTACTACTTAATAGGAGTAGCCATTAGAGGTTTATCCAACCGTTAACTTCAGGGCCTGACACCCTGATCACCCAGAAAAAAAAAAAAGATGTTCCCAAGTTTCATGTTTAAGAAGTGTTGCATAAATTTATCTAATGTTAATATTATACTACTAGAAAAATGGTTTTTTTCAACTCGGTATTGGAATAATGCACATCTTCTAGAGAAAACTTCTGTCAGGGTAGATTTTTTAGCTTGTTGCAATGCATTTTGAAATAACAGCGCTCTACACGGACGTGATTCTGTAGTAATCATGGCATGATTTAAGCTCTACGCGTATCAAACTATACATTGTATTCCACGATTGATACCATACTCTTCTAAACTAAACAAGTCAACTGTCTGCTCTGCAGTATACTATTTAACATGATTTAGCAATGAGTAGCTTTGAACCTTGCCCCTTTGTGAAGGTAATCTAGTGCCCCTACCCAACCAAGAAAGGAGCAAACACAACTTACAATTCAACTAGCAAATTGCATTATATAATAATATGCCCATTGGAGAACACACAGACAGTGGTTGACTGCCAATCTCAGGGCTTTCTCTAAATTGGCTAAAAGTATGCCTGCTTCAGCCCAAATACTTCTTTTTCTATGGAATAGCTAGCTCACACTGACGAAGTTTAATCAATCCATTTAATAAAATACGAGACTATGTTAAATTCTTCTTTTATACTTAGAAGGGGGCGCAATTGCAATACCCTTAACTAATGACCAACAATTACAAACCGCACAACACAATCACCCAAATCCTAAGGAAAAAAGATGGATCCACTGGAAAGCTAGCAACACATGCTCAATTTTAATAAATTTACAGAGCAAGAGAGAATGGAAATCCAGTTGCCCGCAACCAACTACCACCAGCAATGAAGATACCAGGAGTGAGCTGCTGTGCCTCTGTTGAACTTGTGATCACCTTGAATCCCTTCCATGTAACTCTCTTTGCAGTCCCTGCACCAGCACCACTGTTCTGATACTCTCCATAATACAATGTGCTTAGCGCAAAGTTACCACTCCACTCATGCCAACCAGCAGGCTGAATCACATCACTGATAGCTGATTGCATAATCACTGTTCTTGAATACTCCTTCCATGGTCTTCCAAGATAAGTTGGGAAACTACTCTGAACAGGCAGCAAATCAGAAGTGGCTCCAATTCTACTTTTTTGAATGACAATGCCTGTGTTTTGGTTAGGGTCGGTTCTTCCCTGGGCTGTGACCATATTCTTTTGGCCTGAATTGGGTTTTCGGGCATGTATGTCACAGTCTTGGAACACGGCGGCCGCATTGCCGAAGATGAAGTCGACAGTGCCAGCTACTCAACAGTTGATATAGAATTGATGATTTTAGTGAACATAGAATGTGTCTTGATATGCCAACATATCGCATTGGTAAAATGCAGAGAGATCAGCCCCCACACGGAGAGCAAATGCTTGGTGCTTCGAAGGACCGGCTGTGTTTTGGAAGGTTATGTCTCGGGCTAGGAATCCTTCTCCAACAACAGCTACAGCAGCCATTGAAACACATCCAGTTAATTATTAAGGATCAATGTGATCAATTATGTTTCTTAAAAGAGCAAACGACATGTTCCCACCAAAGGTTTACCGAAATCCAAGGTTCATACCCTTGGTTTGATTTATTCCAGTTACCCACCCTTAGTCCTTTAATCTAATACTGTTTCTTTTATTTTAAAAGTGTCAAAATTCATTTCTCTCAACTCACCACCATTGACTGCCCTCCCTTTCCTTCTTCTTCTCCTCTTTTCCTTTTCTTTTTCTTCTTCTCCTCTCTTCCAGATTCTTCCTCTTTTTCTTCTCTCCACCAGATTCTTCCTCTTCTTCTTCTTCTTCTTCTCCTCTTTTTCTTCTCTTTTTCTTCTTCTCTTCTCTCCACCAACTGCTTCCCCTCTACCACTGCTGGGGAAAATGGAGATTTTGGAGGTGGAAGGGTGGTGGTGCTTGTGGTGATGATGAGGACGGCCAACAGAGCCGAGATCGAGCCAAATGGGACCGAAATCGGGTGGTGGTGAGGGATTGCAATGGCCGTAGATGGGTGGAATGGTGGTAGGTGGTGGTGGTGGTGACTTTGGGGTTTCGGGAGGGAGAGAGGAGCGTGGTTGTGGCTGTGGGAGGGAGAGAGAAGCGGCAGAAGAGAAGAAGGGGGAGATGAAGAAGAAGACGAAGACGGGAGGGTGGGAGGGTAGTTTGGTAATTGCTCTCTTCTGAATCCAACAGTGGCTAACGACTAGGTGTGGAAAAAACAGGTTAACCGGACCGGTTTCTTAAACGGAACTGGTTTTCAGTTAAAAAAATAATTAAACCGAAACTTATCTGTTATTGGTTAAAAACCGGTTATGAACCGAACCGAAAATTCGATTCAGTTAACCAGTTATATACTAAACTGTATTTTTTGGCCTAATTATGAATTATTGGCTGTATTTTTCGGCCCAATTCAATCACACTCTACTTTGACCATTTTTTTTCCAATTTTTTTTTTACTTAAATTAAAATTATATTTATTGTAATTGGATAATTTGAATTAAAATTATAATTTTTACCATAAAAGAATCCACTATCAAAACAAACAAGGAAATTTCCATAAAGTTGCTTTTATCTTCACTCCAATTTGTCCAAATTCAACTTTTATTTTTTGAGGATTGTTTCTGCTGTCATCGACAGTATCTTAACCACTTCCAAATTTGATATGGACAAAAAAGCTTATTTTTTTCAAGAGATTAGCAATCACCAATTACGAAAGAAATTTGATATGGACAAGAAAGCTTATTAATTATTGGGAATCATTCTTGGCGATAAGACTTCCAACCGCCCAAAGCAGACAAAACAAATTGAGCAACTTTTGGGAAGAGAAAGAAGGAAGATAATGAGCGTACAACATTTCTTTATTAGACAAAAAGATTAAACAAAATAATTTTCAATTGACTTATTTTAAGTAATATGATTTCATAAATTAAAAGAGAGAACTTGTATATCTTTAATCTGTCGGATGAGTTGGGATCACACATTAAAAGTAATCCATAAATTTCTTCAATTTGGCTGCAAATAAACATGAATAAACAAGTGACAACAATTATCTGAAATCTCAGATCTAAAACCTACCGGAAACACAGATCTGAGAGAGAATGTGAGACTTACTGAGGTCTGAGGTGAGTGAGCCGTGAGGTGAGTCCGACAGAGAATGAGGTTGTGGTGTGCGGCGTGAGGTGAGTCCGATAGAGAATGAGAGACCGAGAATGCGGTTGCGGCGTGAGAGTCCGACAGAGAATGAGAGACAAAGAATGTAGCTGCAGCGTGCGGCATGCGACGGTGAAAAATCTGAGAATCAGAGACTGAGATTGAGTATAGATCTATTGTAGTGCTGTGTACTTGTGTTGTGTTAGTGTTAGACACAAGAGTGACAAAAATAGAGTAAAAAACGAAAAAAGTAAAAACAAATAAATAATTTTCGGTTCAGCAAATCGGTTCCGGGTAACCAGATTTTATTTTGTCAAAAACCAAACTGGATTTTTGGTTTTTTTAATAATCAAACCAAAATGAAAAAAAAAAAATTAGATTTTCACTCCGGTTTGATTTTTGGGTTTTTTTTCTACTCTAACTAATTATGTCAGTTTAAAGGTGAAAATGTGGAATAAATGGACCGGGAATTACTTTAGGACTTCGTCAAACCTCAGGTGGGATCATGTCGTTTACTCTTCTTAAAAAAAGCAAACTATATTGCAGCCTATATGTCCAGATATTAATTGTAGCACTCGCATGTCTCAAGGCCAATAATAATTAACCTTTGCTTCATGGAGCTTTCAAGTCAACTTATTATAATTATTTTTAACATTTTATTGACTATTAAAGCTTGCACCATCGCAACAACAAATTTTGCTGTCTCTTTTGGCCGTCCACTCGTTACTCAGCATAGAGGCATGGCGCTTCCATTTTGGCACAGCCACTAGTAAAAAAAATTCTCTCTTTTTTCTTAATATTCTTGCTCTGAAATAGATATATACTGCAATGACTCTTATAAATAATGCGTGGGCCGGCCATTGGAGTACAAAGAGAAAAAAAAAAAAAAAAAAAAATTAAGAACTCAAGTAAGCTCAACAAAAGAAATCATTGTTTTAATTAGTTTTAAGCCTCATGTTTATTTGTCATCAGATGACATTTCTCTAGAAATTTTTAACCACAATCAATTGAATATAAAAGTCTCAAATATGTAATAACAAAACCTTAACTAATTTCCTCGGAATTATTAAATTCAACCTTCTTTCAAGATTTGTAAAATTATCAGAAATCTGTCTTTACACACAGTTTAATTTGCCTATACTACTCCCAGTTGAGTCCTCCTTAATTAATAGATAAATAAATTTGTCTGATACAAGTACTATTGCAGCCTCCACAAAAGTCCAATTATGAAACGGTAGAAGTTTCTTTTATTAAATAATATTAACATTGGGTTCACCGTTCAGTCCATCACAACCGTTGAAAGAATCTGGTCAAGTTGACTGAGTAAAACGAAGCTGCCTTGAAATACTGAAACCAATGAGTGCCACACCAGTTGAAGACTTCTTATTCCTCACCTATCTTGTTATTTTAAGGAACGTCTTTGAATCTTCGAAACCCTTCTCCTTCCTCAAAAAAATGGCAGTCAGCTGCAGTGCTAACCAGCCTCTTCTTCTCCATTTCATCATCATCACTATACTGTTCTCTCTCGTGATCCCATTCACAAGTTCTTTATCCCTCAACTATTCTAAGTTCGATCCCTTTTATGGCGATAACATGAAGTATGAGAGAGCTTATCCTGACAAAAACGGTACCATTCAACTAGCCTCAAAAACGGAAATGGCTGGTCGTGCCACTTATAGTAAAGCCCTGCCGCTTTGGGACAACACGACGGGAAAACTCACAGATTTCACCACCCATTTCTCTTTTGTTATTGATTCTCAAAACAGAACTCCATACGGAGACGGATTGGCGTTCTTCCTTGCCCCTGAAAATTCGACAATTACTGAAGTTACGAAAGGAGGCTCTCTCGGTCTTACAAAAGATGACGAGCCTCTAAATTCCACATCCAATCCGTTTGTTGCAGTGGAATTCGACATCTTCTGCAATAGTGATTGGGATCCGCCAAGTGATCATGTAGGCATTGATATCAACTCTATGAGATCAAGCACCAATGTTTCGTGGTCGAGTAACGTCAAGGGTGGACAGAGAAATGAAGCATGGATCAGTTACAATTCTAGTACACAAAATCTGAGCGTTGCCTTCACTGGCTTTGTAAATAATGCCACAGTGATGCAGTACCTCGATTATGAAATAGATTTGAGGCTTTATTTACCTGGGTTGGTCACTTTTGGCTTCTCAGCAGCAACAGGAAACCAATCTGCAATTTTTAGCGTTCACTCTTGGGAATTTAATTCAAGCTTAGAAGCTGCAAATCGACCACCCCCAAGTGATAACTCACCACCAAGTAATAACTCGCCTCCTAGCAGAAGAAGAAAAAGTAGAGCAGGACTCGCAGTGGGATTGAGTACTGGTGGAGCTTTTTTGGTTGGAGGGTTGCTTTTGGTTTGGCTTGCTGTCATACGTAGGAAGAGACACGGCGACGATGATGTAGATAAACATGGGGTCAGCGAGTATATGGATGATGAAATTGAAATGGGAACCGGACCCAAGAGGTTTTCGTACAAGGAATTGGCCGGCGCAACAAATAATTTCAACGATGAACACAAGTTAGGTGAAGGAGGCTTTGGCGGGGTTTATAAAGGATTTTTGAGGGAATCAAATTCTTATATTGCAGTTAAGAGGGTTTCAAAAGGGTCTAAACAAGGGGTTAAAGAGTATGCTTCAGAAGTGAAAATTATTAGTAGATTGAGGCATAGAAATTTGGTGCAACTTCTGGGTTGGTGCCATGAGAATAAGGAACTCCTCCTTGTTTATGAATTCATGCCTAATGGCAGCTAAGACTCCCATCTTTTCAAAGAAAACAGCTTATTGAAATGGGAGACGAGGTACAAAATCGCTAAGGACTTGGCCTCAGGATTGCTATATTTGCATGAAGAATGGGAACAATGCGTTGTCCACCGAGATATTAAATCAAGCAACGTTATGTTGGACTCAAATTTCAAGGCTAAGATTGGAGATTTCGGATTAGCTAGGCTTGTGGAACACTCGAAAGGGTCACAAACCACAGTTTTGGCGGGAACAATGGGCTACATGGCTCCTGAATGTATTATAGCAGGCAAGGCTAGCAAAGAATCAGATGTATTCAGTTTCGGAGTTGTTGCTTTGGAATTAGCTTGCGGGAGGAAACCAATAAACCCTATGGCAAAAGACCCAGTTCAGGTATACCACGTCACCCAAACCCTTGACATACCTTCGCCTTTTGAAGAACTTCGACGTCTAGGTTCTGATTCACTTCTAAAACTACTGCAACAGATGAAAGTGTTGATGATAGTTGGGCTGTGGTGTGCTCACCCAGATGAAAATCTCAGGCCTTCAATAAGGCAGGCCACTCATGTGCTTAATTCTGAAGCTCCATTGCCGGTT